GTCTTCTTCTTCTTCTTGTCCTTGTCTTTATCAGCATCTTCATCCTCACCGACATCTTCAATCTTGGGCTCGTCGGTGTCCATTTCCTTCTTCTCTTCGTCTTTCTTGTCATCTTCAGCTTCATCGTCACTCACCTCCTTCTCGCGCTCTTTTTCTACCAACAATTTAATTGGATAACCAATGAATTGAGAATGTTTGTTCACGATTTCTTTGATCTTGCTTTCTTCCAAGTATTCAGTTTGATCCTCTTTGATGAACAAGACTATCTTTGTACCACGGCCCAAAGGTTCCGTGTTATCGTGTTTCACTGTGAATGAACCACCGGCCGACGATTCCCAAATGTATTGTTCGTCATCGTTGTGCTTCGATGTGACAGTCACTTTATCGGCAACCAAGTAGGCAGAGTAGAAACCAACACCAAACTGACCAATCATAGAAATATCAGCGCCAGCCTGCAACGCTTCCATGAATGCCTTTGTGCCAGACTTGGCAATTGTACCCAAATTGTTGACCAAATCCGATTTAGTCATACCAATACCGGTATCAATGATGGTCAAGGTGCCAGCAGTCTTGTTGGGAATAAGCTTGATGTACAGCTCTTTGCCGCTATCCAATTTTGTAGGGTCAGTGAGCGACTCATAGCGGATCTTATCCAGCGCATCGGATGCGTTGGAGATCAACTCACGGAGGAAAATTTCTTTGTTCGAGTAAAATGTGTTGATGATCAACGACATAAGCTGAGCAATCTCAGCCTGGAAAGCAAAGGTCTCCACATCTTCTGGCATCTGTAACAAAAATTAAATAAAATCAAGTTAAAATATGTATGTATGTATGTACATATGAATTTCGCAATTAAAATAAATATGTATGTTCTAGAAACAATTGTAACTGCAAATTTCACCATGCAAGTTAAAATCATCTTCACATTTTATCCATTTAAGAATTTTTTCTTCTAATTGGATTCCTTGAGCAGATAACCTTGTAGCCATTTCAATCGATTTTTCATTGCATTTCCCATACAAACTTGCAGTTACACTTTTAATTTTTTCATACGTTCGAGAATAGTTATTTTTAGTACACACCTTTCTTATATTTTATTATCAACTTTTAACAAAAATGCAGCAAAATTTTTCTTTCAATAGTCACTTGTAAAATATTGCAAACACACTTTGTAAAATGCTCCGCGCAAACGTGTTTTTAATCGTATTTTTTCAATTCAATTGATGCCGGCGTTTTTCATACGGCTCTATTTATAGGGACAATGCCAGTGACAGAAAAGTAGAAAAACCGAGATTGTTCTAGAAGAAACTTATCAAACTTCCGGTGACATTTTATGGCATCACGCAGATGGCAATTTCGGCAATGTTCGTCTTTTCTGTATTAAGTAGTAAGTTTTTGTACCGGGAATAATTAAAGCTCTGTCTTTTATTGAAAATGTATTCATTAAAAGAGCTCTATACTGTACAGTAAAACAGAAAATGGTGTTAGAAAAATGTGTAAAAATTATGCACTGCATGATGCCATAGGAAATACAAAAATCCAGTGTCTCTCAAATGTTGGATGACTAAAGTGTAGGAATATTCTGGATCCGGTTTTAAAATGACTACCCGATGAGTGTGTGAAATGTGCCCACATATATTTTACATGAACATACATATTTATGTAAATAAAATAGTAATGAATGTTTATACATAAGTAACTATGTACATATGTGCTTATGTAGTTTCTAACTAAATTGCATTCCAAGTACTTCACGATTTGGAGATCTTTACAAGAAGCGGCTCCCGTATGCCACTTTCCATAAGGTTTATTAATGGCGAAATAGCTTTTCCTGTAAATTCTGCCAAAAATTCGAATCCTCAAGTTCTTAGAACGGCTTATTAATTGTTGAATGAAAAGTTGGTAATACATTTTAGGTTGTTTCATTGCGCATGAAATTTCCTTAAGTAGGTGGATATGTATATATGTACATTGGTACTAAAAGGCGCATATTTTTACAACACATATGTATATGTATGTAGGTATATAACAATGTAAAACTATTAAGAGTAATACTTTAAGATAAAACCTTTAAGAATTAATTCTGTCAAAGATACGTATGTAAATTGAAATACATATCTATGTATGTATGTACATATGTATAATATATGTATGTATATATCTACATATGTATGTACATACATAGCAAATATGTAATTAATTTTGGGCACCTAGCAACAGTCTGTACATACATACATACATAGTATGTATACCAAGGCTTTCTTCCACATATGAAACTATAAACTATTTCACTAGTCAATTAAAGCCATTTCCTTCGACATTAGACTCCAACTACTTCAGATACATGTATATATACAAAAAGTCGTGACTAAAAAAAAATCAAAATTTTATGCAAAAAAAAATATATATACACATACATTCATACATATATAGTACATATGTATGTACATAATTTCGAGATATTTCAATATCAAGATTATTGCATATTTGTACATACATATTTGTACAAAGCGCAATTGCACCAAACTTATAAACATATTTTTCAGTAAATATCTACTGCATTTATTTATATATAGTAGCTATCTATTTAAATACGTATGTATGTATGTACATATGTACAAACATATTTACATAGATGCATTCATACATACATATGTATGTACATGCAAAAAAACTTCTGGAAGCCGCCCTTATAAGCAAAGCTGCAACAACAATTTGCCTTATAGGAGACACGTGCAACAGAAAACATATTTTCCCACGGTGCTTTCTTTGAAAATTGACATCGGGCAGAATAGAGAAGTGAAATTATTTATTATACTTTTAAATCTTTTCATATAAAATTGGCAAACATTAGAAGCATGTAATTTGCGGCAACTTTAACACCTCATTGTTTTTGTTCGGTTTCCGCTTGACACCATTTTTATTTTCTTCTTAATTTTGTCATTCCCTTTCTCATAGTTACCCTGTGTTTACACCTGACCGCTGACCAGCGTTGCCGCAAGCTTAAAGCATCACTAGCCAAGCAGAAAAAGTATTAAAAGCAAACAAAACTGTTATTTGTTAAACTTTTATTTTAAAAACAAATGATTAATACAATTTAATAATAAAATCCATAGTTATAAAAAAATATATATTACTTTCTTTAACTAAAACAGAATCTGTATGCATGGGAAAACGTCCCTCTTGGTCTGAAAATAATACAAGGTGTTATCAGTTGGCAACTTCTCGCTCTAATTCTGCCATAGACTGCTTTTACACAGTTCAAGTATTGAATTCAATTCTGCTCGCATG